CATACCTCAGAGTAAGAGAGCCTATTTAATGGCTTCACAGTTTAAAAGGTGAATTTTTAAAAGGCAAAATTTTTTTTTCAGTCTTAATGTTTTGTGGTGATTTTTCATTGTGATAGTATGTGTGATAGAGATTTTATTGAACGCATCTGATTTTTCTTGGTTGGAAAAGAATCTGACACTAAATAGGCCTCTGAGTATCATTGTAAAGCAGAAGGATCCTCAGAAGTCAACTTCTTTGGAGTGACTTTTGTCTGTCCTGTCATCTGAGAACCAACTTCAATTTTTTTAAATGCCAAGAACATTTCTCTGACTTGTAATATATTCCAAGAACTTAATGTGTTCCAATATTTCTTGCTATTAAAAATCACCAAGGGCCAGGGATTTAGCTCAGTGGTGTTGATGCCTGCCTCACAAGCACAAGGTCCTGAGTTTGATCCCTGGTACCAAAAAAAAAACAAAAGTCACCAAGGACCCAGTAATATTACAGCCACCTTGTGTGAAGTGGACAGCTGAAGATCAATGTCTCAGATGAATCAATTTTTATGGAAAGCAAAAACCAAAACAAATGATTGTATTTCAGGTCCATTCACAATGATTCTGATCTCACAGGAAGGCAAAAAGCTGTAATACAAAAGACCTACAAATTTCTCCACAGTATCTGTCCAGATTGGAGATTTGTGATAGCAGCAAACAGATGCAATAAAGTCGTGTGGACTTTATTTTTTTCAGGTTTCATTATTTATTATGAAAACGATACATTCTTGGCATTGAAAAAAGAAATCCAGCAATAAAAGTCTCTCTATATCAACCAGGATTCTAAGCTGTCAACTTCTTGCTGCGTATTTCTCCTGAAAAGTTTAATGCATACACAAATATATATACATATTCTTTCTTTACACAATGGTACTATGTCATATGTAGTATTTTTTTAATTTGCTTTTCCTGAAAAATTTTATCTGAGAGATGTTCCCATAGCTTCACACATGCAGCAACATCACTGGTTCAAAAAGCACCACGGTTTTTCACCCTGGGAATGAACAGTGCCTGACAGACTTGGAATGAGGGTTGTGCACATTTGGACTTTTATTTTTAGACAGTTCCTGTATGGACATTACTTGGGGAGAAAATAGACACACACACACACACACACACACACACACACACGGAGGGAGAGAGAGAAAGAGAGAGGGGAAGAGGGAGAGTGGGAGAGAGAGACAGAGTGCCCGAAAGTATACACATCAGAGCCAGGCGCCATGGCACACGCTTATAATCCCAGCACTCAGGAGGCTGAGGCAGGAGGATCGCTGTGAGTTCGAGACCAGCCTGGGCCACATAGTGAGTTCCAGGTCAGTCTCAACTACATAGTGAGACCCTGTCTCAAAAAACAAAACAAAACAAAACAAAAGTATATGCATTGGGAAAAGAAAAACTTGTATAAATAATTTAATACTAAATTTACTGAGACATCATGAGATTAATACAAGTTACCTTTGGCCTCTACAATTACAAGAGGTGCTCAAAGTGGTGGCTGTTAGCTTCCAGACATTTATTAGTACAGTGAACTGCTGAAGTGTGTGTATCTTTCAAATTGGCCTTCAAAAATATTGTATCAATTTTTACCTCCACCAACAAAATATGCCTTCACCTATACCTCTATGTTCAAACTCTGCTCAGTTTTCTATTCAGTTGCTGGTCTTTTTCCTAAATATAGGTGAAAAGGTTTTCATATGTTAATTAACTTAACCCTCTGACTAATATCTTTCCACAGGTATTAATGCCAGTTGCATTTAAATCTGTTCCTTGGCTCTGTGACATTCTCAGTTCGAATATTCAAATTTAATAGTGTTTCCCTATAAATCTTCCAGATTTTGTGTCTTATTTTAAAAGGCGTGGCTTACCATTGAAACCAACTCACCACTCAACAAAGTACCAAAATTGTCTCCTAGTGAAGATGACTTTAAGCCCTAACATCTAGAACTTATTTTAAGAATGAGAGAGATTCCAAACTGTCATTTTTCCCTCCCTTATTTCCTCCCTCTCTCCCTTCACTCTCTGTTTCTTTCTGACTGCCTACCTTGTCTCAACCCAGGCACTGAATCAACTCTTTTCCGTATTGTTGAAAACTTATCTATATCACATTCTGAAAGCCTTACAGCATTTAAGTATTTTTATCTAATCTATTTTAAGCCATTAATTTAGGTGTTTTTTTCCTTTGCTGAGATCAAATTCTTTTAGCTTCTTTAGCTCTATAATATATTTGTGAAGAGTTGGGTTCCTTCATTACTCTTTCAGGATTTTCCAACCTATTTTCACAAATTATTTTGCACACAAAGTTGATGACCTTATAAATCCATTTATAAATAGCAGACATTTCAAAAAATTTCATGCTTGCCATTTAAAACAATACACATATTTTTATATGTGCCAGCCATGGTTTTGGTTTGTATGGGGACTTTTTTTCTTGCTTTGAGTGAAATTTAAAAGTTTTCTTTGCAAAGTTGGGGAGGAACTCAGTGGCAGAGTGCTGGCCTAGCGTGTGTGAGATCCTGGCTTTGCTCCCCAGTGTGCAAACATGCAGAGTGCAGAAACACGAACATGCACATACCCACTCTTTTTAAAATTTTGTGATTTTTATTGTTAAATTTATATCTATATTTTTCTTTACATTGATGTTCTGAGATCATTTCTTATATTTTAATTTGAATTGGCTATCTTACATAAAAAAGTTGTGAGATTTTTCAGCTATTTTCCTGTGTGCTCCATGAGTTTTTTGATCGTCTCCTTTGAGACTGACTGCATACATTTTTCAGATATATAGAATTATACCCTGTGTCATTCACACTAGCATCCCACTTTCATCATAACGTTCAACCTTTTAAATTATTTGTGTTTTCTAAGAGTACTGGTCAGTGGGTTAGAACAATGCCGAATAATATTAGCATCCATGGATGTATTTACCATTTCCCTGATCAGAGTTGATACCTGAGTTTGGTGTGCACACATCAGGATTGCTCGCTGGCTTTCTTAGAAATTTCAGATGTAAGCCAGCAGAAACTGTGTTGCACTTGACTCTGTCGCTGAATCTGCAGAGAACCAAGCCAGCCCTGGGTCTCCCCAATCCGCCCTTACTTCCTGCCTGCTCATCCTGAATTTGAATATGTCTGCTATATATTTGTTTACAGTAACTTTGAAAGGTATTTTCAATTATTGGTGTATGAAATATTGATTGTGTAGAAAAATAGAAAGCAAAGATTTTATAGAAGGAAAATATGTGATGGTGTGTGTGTGTGTGTATGTGTGTTGTGTGTGTGATCAACACATCCTGAGGTTGGCAGAAGTGCTGAATATCAGAGTGTGGTTTTACCTATAATCTCCCAATACTGGCATTCTCATTAGTTTAGTAAAGAGAAGCTTGAACATGTTGTGACTTTCATTTTAGTTCTCATGATATCTTTCTTTCTCTTCTTATCATTAAATGCTTATGCCTTTGAAATTTTTACAAATAAATGAGCTGAAATAAATAAAACAATTCACTTGAGATTTTGAAGACATCTGGTGGAGCTATTTTCAGAGTAATTAGACCAAGAGGTACTCAATTCCCTGAAGAAAGCTACCCTACCCTGGACCCCCATTTCTGCAGTCAGCAGCTTACACACAGTGAACATATTGATTGTTAAACCAACAAGCAATCACGCAGAGTTGCCACCTGATATCGTACGACCATTTATGTTATATAAGTACATGTCCCGCATACGTCGCCTCTTCTCAGTCATGGGTCAGCCTGTGCTCATTTTCAGTTAATTCAACACTTGGGTGGGGGAGTAAAAGGGATCGAGATGGGACATGCATGTGAGGCAGTGATGAATACCCCGTGGAACATCGCATGATGACTTTATCCATTACGCACTGCAAGCCCATACTGACATAAACAATAAAAAAGAAACTCGTGTGGAAATTCTCCTAAGTGAAGCACTAATACTTCAAATGTATTTCTTATAAAATCATAGAGCTGGAAGGGATCTGAACATCTAAAGAGTTATTCTCCCCAGTGGAGACCAAGAAAACTTAGAACCACAACAAAAAGGTCTGCTATAACTAACCAATTTAAGAACTCTGGGAGATTCTACTAATGTCTTTCTTATTTTTTATTTTTTTGGTACCGAGGATCAAACTTGGGTCCTTGCACTTGGCAAGGCAGGAGGCAGAACCACTGAGCTAAATCCCTGGCCCTATACTCCTGTCTTAAACCAAACTGCTACCCAGAACATCTCTGCACTGTCAGCCTGAATCCCACAAGTTATTAACAATCGACTCTACTTTCTATGCCTTTAAGTATTTTACTGCTATTAGCAGAACAATGAAATCAGAAGTTGTAACCATGATGGGTCAGTGATCAAGACCCACCCACAAAGATAGCTACCTTCCCCTTAACGGCTCCCAGACCTCACATCATCACTCCTCCTTCACTCTCAACTGAGAATCAGATGAGTGTCAGGAAGTGAGGATTTGTCTGCACGTGTAAGCTAGGGATACAGGATACTTTCAATCTAAAAAATGTCAAAATTCTTTAAGAACTATAAGGGGGAATGATGTATATAGTTTAATGTTTCACAGTAAAGTCAACAAGCAAAATTTATTCTTCGTTGAACGTGCTCCCCAGATCGCGGGTTGTCTATACGTGATGACCATACCAAAGGAATTCAAGGACATCTTTTATGGGGACACTTAGCATGTTTAGTTCAGTCTATTCCTTCACATTTTTTTTATCTTTTCAAGAACAAATCATGCTTTAATTTCACGTAGTCCAGTAGAAAGCAAGTCAAGATTTATGCATCGTGTTTTACTTTGGAATGCACGGATTAAGATCATCAGATCCTAACTAAAATCATTTTGCCAAAGGATATTTTCAGTCAGTTTCACTAACTGAAATACCAGTATGACAAGAGGCAGAAGTAATAAGTAGATCTTGTACTTCAGTCTGAATGCCACGGCATACTCACCAGAGGTTTCATCGACTCTCTCGTCTACAATGTGGTCCTTCTGGTGAACCCATTCACTGTTGCACTTGAAGTATATCTGGGTTGCTGGGCTGGCTTTACAATACAGGTTCACAGGCTTATTCTTCACAATGTAAGCTTCTTCGGGCTCAATGAGGAAGTGTGGCAGAGGCTCAGGTGGATCCGATGGAAAGGTTTCTGGAAGTTCATGAAAAAAGTCGTCATCTAGTAAACAAAAAGAAAATGAAAAGAGTCAGAACATATTAACTTCCCTTTTATATGTAATCCATTTAAAATAATGATTGGTTGTAGGGGAAGTGGGAAGGGTAGGGGAAAGGAAATAAGGGAAAACAAAAAAATCCATGAGAAAATGAAAAATATGGAAATAAAGTATTTGTAAATAGGGAAGGGAGGAGGGGGGTGAAGGGAGCGCAGGGATAAGGGGAAAAATGAGAAGCAAGACCTGTGACGTAAAGGCACAAGATCCCAATGATGAATGTAACTGTACTGTATACCTAAAATGTACCAATAAACTCAATGAGAAAAAAATAAAATAATGAATTGTAAATGAACCAATTAAATGACTTAAATGTCTGTTACATGTTATATATAATGACTAGTTGCTTAATTAAGGATCTAGATTATTACTATTCTCACACATGCAAAACTTAACATCAGGGTAAATAAGTTATTTTAAAATCACAGGTAGCAAATAGCAAAACAAGAATAAAAATTCAAAAACTGTGACCTGATAATTAATACACTTCCCAAAGTCACTCATACGAGTTGAAAGAAGCAAAAGCAAGAGAATTAGAAAAAGCTGCTTGAAAAACATGAGGCTTATAGGAAAAACTTTTGATTTTTTGCAAGAAGTTAAGTAGAAATACTAGAAAAATGAACTAAAGATCTTGAGATTCAGATTTGAATTTATCATTGTCAAAAGTTGCCACACTGTGAAATATTCATTAAGCAAAACATATGTATTCATCGAGGTCTGAATTATTCTAAGCACTGGAAATAGAGATATGACAACATGAAGGCAATCAGTACTAGGGTCACAGCAGGACTGAGGAAGGAGAGGCTGTTTGGTTTGGTTTCGAAACTACACTCACAGTGGCATATGGTGTGATGTGACTAGTAAAACCTATTCTTGCTAGAAGGTTACTGAACATTACTGCAAAGAGCATAATTATTTTCTTAGCCAACAGAATTATCATGCATAGTGCTTTGATCCTGATGTGTCAACTCCACTGAATAAGCCTAACCTAAAAATCATCTGAGAGATTTGAACATTTGTATATTTTAAACTTGATTCCAAATATATGTATGTGTGTATATATATCTATATATCTATATGTATATGTAGATATATATACATATATCTATATATACACACAGAACTACCTTTTTTATAAAACCTGCTATCATGTTTTACAGAAGTTAGGGAAAAAGCCTTTCTAATACACTATAAATAAGTAAACCTGATCATTATTTTAATTATCTCCAATGAGGGATAGAGAAAAACATAACTATTATTAATTATGTAAATAGGCTGATACGCAGGATTAAAACTTCAGGTTAAACTTAAAACATTTTACAAGTTCTTTAAAAGTACATAAATGGGGGCCAGGGATTAGCTCAGTGGTTCCGCCACCTGCCTCGCAAGGTCCCGAGTTCGATCCCCGGTACTAAAAAAATAAAAGCTAAACAAAAAACTCCATAAATGTATTCAGTAGCAAAGGTATGGAATTGGTGCCTAAAAACCAGTTACTCACATGCTACCTTTACTGCATTCACCACTCATCCAGGAGTTGGCCCATTTTGGAGACAGACGCTGGTGAAGTGAACATCTGTCCATTAAGAAACCTGGCCAGGACCTTTTCCATCTAGGTCACAGGATGGCTGTCAAACTGTAATGCTATTCAGCAGCTGTCGATCTGTTTTGCAGTAAAGATTGGCTTCACTTGCATCAGGGACCAAAGTAGCCTTCAGAGCTGCCCCGTAACTGTCACTTCCAACCCTGGCATGTAAATGATCTCTCCTGCCACTGGCTTCCTTTCTCACTTTACCTCCTTGATTTGCTTTCTTCTGGAAGGACAACAGGTCTAGTTTTTTTCCACTGCTGAACAACAATGACCCAAATGGTCAGGTCCTAACGCATAACCTCGTTTCTATCAATTCCAGCTCTGCTAGTCAATGTGTAAGAACACACAGCTCAGGAGGGCAAAGGGTGGAGAAGCTGGACTACTGTCACACCTATCACGACAAAACTGATCTTCCTTCCTTCTGAAGCACTCACTATTGTATGTGGTGATGCACAGCACTGGTGATCAATAAAGCTCCTTAAAATGCAAGACCAATCTGCTACAGAAGACCATCTACTGCTTTTAATTGTTACCATCCATGAACCAAGTGAAATGGCAAACTAGATGTTAGTTTTCTTTTGGTGTATGTTTCTATGTACAAAAATGTGTTACTGAGTATACTTAATAACTATACATTGGTTTCAGCCTGCAAAGTAGGAAAAGTCTCATATTCAGCCATTAAGTGAAATTTATTCCTGTTCCTGAAACAGGTATGATTAAAAGACACCTGATATTTTATTCAATAACACAGCACAAGTGTGTGTAGCTCTACGCCCTGGGAAAGGCCTCATGAAGACACTAAACCTTGACTTCCCTGAATTACACATATCTGTGTCGTCATCTGATTATTTTACTATAAACAACTGCGGAGACCATGTGAGATGAACAAGTCACACACACACTTCCAAATCAAAAGGTGCTCTATTAAATGCTGGGAGTAAGGTTATTAATTTAATAATATATTTTTAAAAGTATGAGCAAGCTAACTTTGCATTTTCTTAATTTTGAGTTTGAAGACAAAATGATCACTACAAAGATAATGTATGATTTTATGCTTCACACATTACTGATTTTTCGAGATACCGGTTAACACGTAAGATGAAACTTATTGAGAAATAATTACTATCATTATAAAAGCATGAAATTGTCACAAAGAAACACATTACTTATTTATCTAAGACGCACCAATAAGAAAGGAAATACTTTTTATTCATGTGATAGATACAGTTTTGTTTACCTGCCATTCTACATTCTGTAGAACTCTTCGAATGTTGCTCTAGAAAGCTACTTGAAACAGGAACAGCACAGTAGCCCATTGGTGTTTCTTACAATGGTCATGCAGTAAATTCCGGTCAATGAACTAGATGAAGTCGTATTACTCATCATTTGTAGTACTATAATTGACATGACATTTGCAAAGAAAATCCAAGACCCAGAGGTAGGGCAGTTGTACGGTGGAATAAATATAATATTGTGGAAGTGGGCTCACAGGCTGCCATGAAATTCTTGCCTTTTCCACTTGGAGTGCGTATGTAGAAACTCTTCTCTAACCAGCCAAGTTGGTCCAGAGAAGAACTCCCCACACCATGCTCAGCATGCTAAGAGAACATTCCATTCAGTTCTTGCTTTATGAAAATGTCACATGTTGACACTAATTTTCAGAAAGTGACATTTTAGAAATTTTGTCTTAAAGTTTTCTTTTTTTACTGTATCTGTGTGTATTTAATGATAAAATAATGATCAGCTGCAAATGCCATGTATTCCAGATGGGCATTTATAAGCTCTAGACTATGCATTTCTTCTAACGTAAGTGGAGGAGTTTAATTTGTAGGTATAGCAGACAGTTTGATGCAAGCACTGCCAATTTTTCAAAATCTAGAAGTATACAACGAATGTCCCACACTACAGTAAAAACTCCCTGAAGGCAGGGACTGTGTTGTTTTCCATTTTGATCTTCCTGAGTCTACTATAGTACAAGGCATATTTTAAGAGGTCAACCAAAATCTTATAAAAACATTAATATTAATCTTATAAAAGCAATTTTCATCATTTGTAAAATATTCATGAGGAATCTTGGAGCTTATAGTGCCTCAAATTCATTTACAATTGGAGATAACTACAGGTATATCACAAACAAGAGTGGGTATAAAATTTGTGTGGCCCAGTGTAAAATGAAAAGTCAGGGATTCTTGTTAAAAAATTATTAAGAATTCTGAAATGGGGACATGTTAACATTAAGATCAAGCACTAATCCTATGGAACGGTGCAGGTCATATAGCCACGAAGCTGGCCCTATCTACCCACGTCAAAAAACAGAGCGTTTCACTTTATGAAGTCTGACAAATGAAATCACATCCTTATTCGTGGATATTCACTCGAGGACATATGTGGTGCTCCCCAGATTTTTAATTGTGATTGGATGTGATCCAGAAGACACAATTTTTTTTCAGGCTGAGAAACTTAGGCTCCAGCCGGTTTTCTACGCAAGTGTGTTTGCAGTGGTGTGCAGGTGAAGGTGTGTGATTTTATCTGTTCCTGGCCTTTTATGTGGCTGTACTCCAGTGCGCACCATGGGCCTGAGCCAAGATAAGTAAAATTGCAGCCATGCAGATACTAAGTCTTTTAGGGCCCCTGGATGACGGTTCAGAACTTGGAGATAAGAATGTATGAGTAACCTTGAGTGGAGTCCTATCATTTTATCATATAAACAAACCACTTTTCTGATACTATTAAAGTCATGCTGCAAAACCTGAAGCTATATAAAAACAATTTTAGCTTTTTTTTCCCACAGGGAGATCCGTGAATGTGTTCTCTTACCACTTTATTTCTTAATATAAATATCTGAAGAGATGATAGCAGAGGGATAATAGGAACTCAATTTGTGCATAACTTCAGATGGTGAACTTATTTCTGGCACAATATCACCGTTATCTTAAACTGTTATATTTTATAAAAAAATGCATATGTTATCTGCCGATATTGATTGCATTTCTCTATTTGGACCAAATGAATTAAATAATTAAACTGCAAAACAGGTTTTCTACAAGCAGTTTGTTCAAATTAACAAGGTAGAGTTTCCAAACTTGCTTTTTTTCTGTATACTGACTCAGTATCAACTTCAAGCCCTAATTGGCTTTTCTGATGTAGATGTAGCATTATTACTCATTTTTTTCTCTTCGAACATTTGGCTAAGTTTTTTACTTCTGAGTATTACTCAACAATGACATTCCAACTGTAGTGCCATTTTTATCTTGGTATCAGTAAATCTCAGTATTTCCTTTTCTCTTATCTCCTACAGGCATTTGCTTTTTCACTTTTATACAAGAAAAGAAAGCTTTGCACCATGTATTATTTTTATAGTCTTTCATTCTACCTAATTCTTGACAAGAAAATATTATGCTATGAACATCAATCTAGGAAGCAACTTTTATTGCTATATATCAAGCCTTAATTTTCATCAATTTAATACATAAGATTCTACATTTCTGAATCATAAGACTTAAAGTATTATTGCTTATATCATAAAATATAGGACCATTATCTCTTTGTCTGAGACTTGAAGCGTATTCTTCTGAAATGGAATTTACTTCCAAATGATTCAAGAGCAATTTAAAATGAATGACTGCAAAACTAATTTTATCTGCATTTGGCTACCCATCCATCAGAGAGATAATTCATGATATATTACAACAAAAGGCAGCTGGAATTAACTATTAGAATGAGAGTCCAGCTTATTTTTAATATTTTGATTAAAATATTCTCCAGACAAGAAAGACTATGGTCAATATTTCAAGAAACATATTACTGACTTCATCATTTAAATTCAAGTAGTTGAATACATAAAGCCTTAAATGCACTGCAATTTAGAAGTACTGAATGAATTCTAACTTCAACAGAAAAAAAAAACAACTCTTTTTTACTTTAACAAAATGCTTGCCAAACATGCTGAAGTATTACTAATAGTGATCTAAAGCTAACCTGGTATTTGACATGCAGTTATCTTGGAAACAGAGGCTCCAGTTGAAGCCATCACGATCTCTGAATTTTACTGTTGTAGAGTCCTCCATTTCTTCTGAGTACCTTCTCTACCTCTGCCACTTTTTCTTTTAGAAAAACGTTCAAAATCACTTTTATTCTTTTCTTCCAATAAATTAATAAATATAACATAAAGCTAGATAGTAGTTTTTTCGCCTCACACATCAGCTTAAAAATATTAAATTACGAAGAACTGAAGAAATGTTTGTTAGCATATACTGTCCAGATTATAAAGGGTACTAACATTATAAGTAATAATTTAAACTTTGCACACCTCCAAATAGGCTATTTCACTTCATAGAATCCATTCTATAGAGATAACATAAAAATGTAAACACTTATCTACCAAGGTACTCACTGTGGCATTATTTATTTTGACTGAAACTATGCCTTTCCTCTCAATGGAGTCTTTGGCATATGAACAGAAATCATGAAAAGGTATTAAGTGTGTGATAATCTGAATTTATAATAGTACTTAGTCTATTAGTCTGGCTAGGTAGTGATTATAATTAATTTATAATCCATTAGTATTTGATTTTCACTTTAAAGTGCTTAATATTAGGATGTCAGAAATACACAGAGTTTTACATAGTGAATGATAGAAAAGTTTTTCTATCAATGGGCAGAGTTACAAATGTTGTAACTCTCAGAGATTGGAATAAAAAATTCAGAGAGGGCTGGGAATCTAGCGCAAGGTGCCAAGTTTGATCCCTGCTACAGAAAAATAAATAAATCAGAGAAAAATTTTATAAAAATTAAACAATTACTGACAAGTAAATAAGATCTTTTAACTGACATTTACCAGTTAAGTCATAACAATGATTCATAGCACAGAAGGTTCTAACAAAGAAGTAAAAATTCAGTATTATAATAGAGTCACATGACACGCATTGGTCTCCTCCCTAGAAAACTCACTGTAGCTCTTAACTGCATATTTGAACTTGGCCAGCCTCTGGTCCCCAGATATTCAATCAGTCCCTGATGGAGATGCTGGAATTAAGTCCATAACTAGTGACTTTAAGTAAGGGTGATTCTCCTAGGCAATCTGAATGTGTCCCATTCAATCAGTTGAAAGGCCTTAGAGGCAGAAATGTGGAACACTGAGGCTGGATTTCGATTTAATCACTGGAAACTGCAGTGAGACCACCCTGACAGCATCAGACCTCCCTCCACCTCTACCCTGGTCCTCTTTGATACTCTTCTTTTTCATCAGATACCAGTAAAAACGCTTAGCATCTGTATGCCACTCCTGGACCCAAGCCCTCACGGTCCTCTCCCACTTTGTGCACATGGATTGTCCACTGGACAGCAAGTTCAGAGGGGGAAGGACAGTAGTCACTTTATTCATTACCGCGTAACCAATGTCTACTCCAGTGCTTGGCGCAGACCTCAAAGTGTTTTTTCCCTTCTTTCAATTTGTATTTTTTAAAGAGGTTTCACGGAATAAGTTAGTGCTACACAAACATTAGTTTGTTAACTGAAAACCTGCAATTTAGAAGAAATCCTTGTGTAAAGGTAAAACGGAAATAGTCATACTAAAAAGGCGTGTCTTCAATACTTATGGTACAGATCCAGTTCCAGCATTTAAAAAATTATACCTCTTTTCTATGCAAGTTTTGCTGCCATCTATCATGAGATGTGCAGACTTGGACTAAATGTGTTGCCTTGCTAAATAATCAATGTTAAATCTAAAGCAGCAGAATGAGAAACAATACATCTGATGCAAATGCCACTTTAGCCTCTTGGCCCCTTTGACATGAGACTTCACTGAACCACTTTCTCCTTCTGGAAAGTCCTCCTCTCTTGGGAACTGTGCATTAGCACTGCAATGCGGCCTCTTCAAACTCTGTCTTCCTTGGTGCCTGAATACAGCCAGAACTTACTAGAGTTTGCCCTTCGGTTTCTCCCTCGGGCATCTCCTCCCAACAGTGGCCTCAATTATCAGATCATGTCACACACACAGCCTTCCACTCCATTCCCCTACTTCTTATCCCCTCCGAAGCCTTTGTTTTGACCTAGGATGAAATCAGACTCTTTCCCCAGGCCCTCCAGGACCACCGTGTCTGCTGGCTGCTGGCCTCTGCTTCTCATTTCAGAGCCTCCTGTCCTTCTGTCATTGAGCTAGAGAGAGCCTGCTGCCTGTCTGGGTCCACAGCGAACGTGTGCCCACCCCAGAGCGTTTGCTCATCCTCTTCATTCTGCTAAGCAGGACATCCGCTTTCCTTCTTGCCATCTAGGCTTCAGCGCAAGATGCCTCCCGGACAGAAAGAGATTCGCGGTCACTAATCTCAAGTTCATACTTCCTTCCAAGAACACTGTGATTTCTTTTCACCTGTCCAATGAGCTTGCTTACTAAATTAGTTCTTTCCTTTTCCTTCCTATAAAACTCCAAGCTTTTTGACATCGGATTTTGTCCATCCTGCTCAATACTGTGTCCTCAGCACTATCAGATGAACCCATCTTCTCTCTAAAACTAGCTTTACATTTTAACTCAGTTCCCATTTCTGACTATAACATATTTTTCCTTGTTAGCATTTTTGTCTGAATTATTGCAAGATCCTTAATACTCATATGACTTGCCCTAGACTTTCCTCTCTCCATCTCATCTAAACACCACCACTTAGTACTAATATCACAAATTAAGGTAAAATCGAAACGAGTTATGTTTGAAATGTTCAATATTCCACATGTCATGGTCCCATATGTATTTCATTTCTGGCTTATTTACCACCACTCCACCAAAGCCAAATTTGGTGATTCTGTACTACATAAATATAACTTTAAAATTTTTTCCTACATCCATACATTTACTCTGCATGTGATGCCTTAGTCCACATTGAGTCTTCAATGTCTACATCAATGGCATTAGAAAAGTCAACCCAGGGGTCGGGGATGTAGCTCAGTGGTGCCGCCGCCTGCCTCACAAGTTCAAGGTCCCAAATTCGATCCCCAGTACAAAAAAAAAAAAAAAAAAAAGTCATCCCTTCATCTTCCTAAATAAAATCATTCCTTACTAGTCATCTGTAACAATGTATAACATAGTTTGAGATTCTCAATCATTTTTAATGCAGGACGGAACTACTGTAGCCCTAGGAGATTCTACAACTTTGTCTACATTGAAGCCAAGATACCTTCAAGTGATGATTTGCTTGAAGATCTCTGAAGAAAATTAGCATTATCTACATTGATTATGTAGTATGATAAGTTAAATCCTTTGAATGTAATCTATACCTGTCTCTATCACAACTTCAAAGACATTTTTAACAGCATGGTCATCATTCTTAAGTATATGCAAAATGACAGAACAAAGTATCTACAACACAGTTTCAAGGAATTTGAGCTATATACTATTTTTTAAAAAATGAGGATGTGTGAATTGTTTCTTAAAATGTATTCAGAATTTTAAAATAAAGGAAACTGATATCAAATATCAGACATCAGTATGCTAGGCTAAAATAGCCAAAGTTGTAAACATCACTGAATTAAGAGTAATTAAATTTATAATATTGAAAAATAGGAAAAAGTGATACTATGTTGAAAATGAAAACACTTGGTCTATGTAGTATGTGGTAAAGTGTTCTTTCTTAACACACTAAAAATGCTTACATCAGTAGGACCACATGCTTTAAAATATATTTTAAAAGATATAATAACTAAAAACTCAGATTTCATAGAAATTAGAAATTCTGCATAGTGACTATAGTAAATTTCTTCAATTCAGTGAAATGGCTTATTGCTAATACTTATAGAAAATACAATATTGTATAAGTCCATATTATTATAGACAGCTAAGTTAGGTAGAAACATTGTAGACAGACAGGACTAGGACCTCGAGAAAGTCAGGACAAAGGTGAAACACACAACTGTGGCTGGAGACACATCTGTTGGAGACCAGGACTTAAGGTAAAGATGAAACAACTAGGCCTATGTGCCTTCCTCAAAAGACAAATACCAGGCCTAATGAAGTCTAACAAGACATCAGTCACCCCAGTGGGTGACCGGAGACCTCTGGACCCATCATTTCCTTGGAAAGTCTTTGTTCTTTCCATGCACACTTTTACATGACTTGTTTCCCTGCTGGATCACTGTTATGTAAGTGGCATACTTACACCTTTTTGGTTGATCTTGGCTGTGACCCATTGTACCCACATGGGTTTTGCCATATAAAAACTTCCCTGTAAAGTAGAGTCCTTGGCCACTCAACCGGGTCCCCTTCTGCCTCTCAGGAGCTATCCTCTTGATAAATATTTTCCTACTCTTAACTTCTGTTGTTGCTAGACTTCATTTTTCTGTTTTAAAGAACCTGAACTTGGTACATCTGACATCTAACAGGTTGGGAGATACGGTATTTCCATATTTTATCTCCTGATTCAATATGAGAGTTCATGAGCAAAAAAAAAGAAAAAAAGAAAAAAAAAAAAGAAAAACTTCAAAATCATATCTTAAGACTCTCAGAGACTGTCCAAAATTAGAAATCTAACAGTTATCTCTAGCTCTTTCTTTTCCTTCATTTCCAGCATAAAAATGATCAATAAGTACTATATATTATGTGTTCTACATAATTCTTGAATGCCTTCCTTCTGATTCCACTGCTATCATCATTTTTGCTACAACCTTTTGAATGCCTCACAACTGGTCTCCTTTGCCTATTGCTTAAAGGTAAGATTTTACTGTCATTCCTCTGCTTAAAGTCCTATAGCTCCTCCATTCCTGTACAAAAAGTTCCATACATGGTATTCAGTTTTCCCAAACTAAAGTTTGTATTTCATTCTACCCCCAATCTGAGTTTACCTTATAATTTGTCTTACTGATTTTGACCCTGTAATAAAATTACAAATAAGATATTTTGGTAGCTAAAATTTATGTAAGAAATGTAAATGTTGGTATGTAAATATATCTGAATACACGTAAGGATATAAAAATAGAAGTGGGATTGTGTTTAACATGTTGTTTATGCTTTGGCTACTGCCTGTTATAGTAGATTCTCTGCCTCTGTGGAACTATCGGTTACAAGTGAGTGGTTGGTATCACAAGCCAACTATGTGCCAACTACTGTCCCATAATGTTTAGTGCAAGCTAATATTAACCAGTGTTTAAGAGAAAATTACCGCTACACATTTGTAGATTTGGTAATGTTTACCTGACACTCAAATTTCCCCAGATGTTTTATAATAAAAATAAAACACAACTCAATCCTTATTAATGTCATTGCTATCTTTAGCTCTGGTTTTAGAATTCTGGATACATGTGCGTAGTCTTTGGTAGGATCATGGTTTCCATGGGACATGTGATATGAAGTCGCATACAACTCTGCAAGGGGAGGGTTAATTCTGCTTGTTGAGTGACGGTATTGACTATGAGCCATGACCTTCAGATCTTATCCTATCTGATGGAACAAATGACCCTGTTCGAAAATGTATTGTTTTGAAGGACAATAGACCGAGTCCACCGAAGAAGACTCTGAGGGATGAAAGCTCTCCAGCAAAGGACAAGACTGGCTAATGTTTCACATTTTTACCTCCCCTACCACTGGAAATCTGGACACTTGACACAGGGTCAGCAAATTATTAAAGCTTCAAGCAGCAACACTTCCTGCTCCACGTGAGGCCTTACTTTTCCTTGACACATTACTCCTGCAACCCCTGCGGGTGCCTGGCCTTTTTCCCTTGCTTTAACCTCCACAACTAATTAAATCTGGACCAGTCTTTGGTGAAAATAGTTTCCTTCAAAGTTATTCATTCATTGTTCCCCTCTAGGCATTTTCTGTCATTTAGCCCAGTCTGCCATCTTTACATGAAGCTGAAAGAGGTGAGTTGTTTTTATGAGATAAAAAACTCTCGACCTAAATCTACCTCGATGCTTCAGATAAGAGCTAGATTTTAAAGTATGACAAATGCCTCAGCAGTCATGAAATCGTAATTTCTATAAGTTTACAGGCAAACAAAAAGTTCCAAAGACTCTGGTCACACTTAAACTTTTAAGATTTAATATCAGAGGTAACTTTATCTGGGGTCTAATTAAATTCTACGTCAAAAAATGAAAAAAAAAGCTGGTACAGTTGAACCCACTCTCAGGAAGTTTGTTTGGAGAATCACATTGGCCCTCAAAATTAAGCATCATTTTAATATTCTCTATTTAGGTGAAGAAAAAAGTGAGGATTGAAGGAAATAAGGAAATTTGGTACTGCTTAAGTATTTTCTCTGTTGCTATAAAAAGAAGACTTGCTAAATTACCAATTATTCCAGACCTATTTCCACATTTTACAAGCAAACAGAAAATAATGTGTGCACTTGTTTAAATATTTAAAAATAAGGTGTGAAACTTCCTTTTTGGTCAAGGTTGTTTGAC